CTCTCTCTCCTTCTCCCAATTCTCTCTCTCCTTCTCTCAAGTCTCTCTCTCCAAATTCCCTCAAATTTTACCAATTCTCTCTCCCCTCCAAATCGTCAACGGAGAGCTAGAGAGCACTAGCGAGTCAAGGTACACGTATCTAACCTCGAATCCCTTTAACCCCACGTGTTGTACTAAAAAATATATATATTAAAAAATAATTATCTCCCAATAAAACTTCATTTATCTCTCTTAATCATTTCACTAATATTCTTCTTTCTCATTCACTTTTAGACTATTTTTTTCTCCACTCATCCAAATTTCTTATTGAAATTATCATTTTATTTAAATTTGTTTGGAAATGGTAAAGATAGAGAGAGTATTTGGGAAGAGAGAAAATAAATTAGAAAAAAATTAGAGGGGTAGGGAATCGAGGGAGGGAGAGAATTGTAAAGATAATTGAGAGATAGTATTTAGAAAAAGATATAAAATTAGAGGAATTGAGAAAGATAAACTTGTATTTAGATGACAAAATTGTTCTTAGAGTAATAGCAATAAAAATGAGAAATTCCACGGCACGTGTTGCTCATTAGTTAAGATAAATAGCTCATAGGTTGGTTGAATCAATTACTTTATATATTTGTCTACCGTAAATTTTCTGATTTATTTTCTATTCATTTAAAATTATTAAATACTTATACTGAATTTTATAATAAGAAAATTTTATAAATGGCAAAATAATTATTCTATGAGTTAAAAAAATAATGAGATGAGAATTCATTTACTAATTCAATTTTCTAATGATTAAGAAATATAAAAAGAAAAATTAATAATTTTGATCGTAGTAAAAAAGTAATGAATTTAATATGTATTTTTTAATTAAAAATAAAAATTGAGATAATTTAAGTATTACTAAAGTCCAAGGTTAATATAGTAAAAAAAAAGATTTGATTAGACTTTTATAATGAAACGTAACGTCGTAAATCTTACCATTCATTTTATGGATAAATTGGAAAAAAAATAATTAAATATTTTCACGTGCTTTTTATTGTTAATTTCATTAATGTATTTAAATTATTAGTTTCAAGGTGTATTTGAATTTTTATTTTAAAATTTATTTAAATATTAAAAGTGAAAAAAAAATGAAAACATAAAATTTAAAAGTTAATGTTTTGAATAAACAAGCTATGATGTTCATTGGGTAACAACAATCGTATAAATGCAACTAATTATTACTTAAATATATTTTTATATTTTTATTTCCTTAATATTTTTATAAGAGAAGGTAAAACTATCACTATGGTAACTTTTTATAATTATGGGAGCAATTAATTTTTATTTATCAATTTAAATTTTCAACTATTATGAAAAATAAAAAATAAAAGATAACTTAGAAAGATTATGAAAAGTAAAAAATAAAAGATAACATAGAAAGTAAAAAGTGTATGAATTTTAAAATGAAGTGTTTATGGTGAATATAAAAATGTTTTTATTTTTAGTTTTAATTGGTCGTTAATATTTTAGGCGGTAAAACTATCTCTATTTTACATTTTTATAATTATGAGAGGCAATTAATTTTCATTTACTAATTTAATTTTCTAATCATYATAAAAAATCAAAATAATAATAATAATAATAATAATAATAATAATAAATTAACTTAGAAAATGAAAAGTCATTAAATTTAAATGTATGTCTGTAGAGTAATTCACGCTAATCTATTTAGTTCGTTGTTTTATTATTATTATTATTATTACTACTCTCGTAAAACAATAAAACGGTGGTACATAAAAATTATGTTAGGATTTGAGTAAAATGAACATAGTAAAGATAAAATCAACAAATTTAAGTATGAATAAACATATATTTGAAGTACAACGAAAAAATATTAATATTAATTATAAAACAACTAAAAGCAATAATTTCTAGAGTAAGTGAGGAAGATCAAACTTTTGCATCACAATTTTCTAAAGAAGAATTCCTCCGGTGGCATTGAGCTATATTGTCAAATCAAAAGTATCATGTAAAATCTAAAAACTTGAAATTGAACAAATCATCAAGGATATTTTACAAAATTGATGGAAAATAAATATTTTTATAGTTGTAAAATGGACTTATAACTTTTGATATTCTCAACCCTTTTCAAATTCCATAGAATATATATCTTTAATTTATTTTATTATTATTTTTTTATATAAAGGAAGGTAAAACTATCCCTATTCTACCTTTTCATAATTATTAATCATTATAAAAAGTCAAAAACTAAAAATAAAAGATTAAATTAGAAAATGAAAAGTCGTGAATTTTAAAATGAAAGGTTTCATGATGAATATAAAAATACATTTTTTTTTTCTAATTTTGACTGGTCATTAATATTGTAGGTGGTAAAACTACCTCGTTCTAGTTTTTTATAATTATGGGAGCAATTAATCTTCCTTTACCAATTTAATTTTCCAACCATCATAAAAAGTCAAAAAAATAAAAAATAAAAAATAAAACATTAACATAGCAAATGAAAAGTCATGAAATTTTAAAATGAATGTAAAAATAATTTTTTTGTTTTTTAAATTTTGATGGGTCATTAATATTTTAGGTGGGGTGTGTTATGGAAGAAAGTAGAAAATTTCTTTTATATATGTATAATTTGTGTAGTTTATATATGTGTATTATAAAATTTGGTCTCGAGTATTTTATCAAAAGTGAGAGAATAATTTAGATGGGTATGAGAGTGAAAGGAGGATTTCGATGGGTGGGAGAGAGAGAAAATGAAAGTTAAATGGAGGAGAGATGAGTATTAGAGAAACTTAGAATTTAAGACAACCAATCAATATGAAAGGAGATATGGGTAGAAGTGGGAGAAACTTAAACAATGATAACTTAAAAAGAAATACGAAAATAAGGTATTGGATGAAAAATAAAGTTTAATGAGGGTAGACCTGATCGCTAAATCTTGTAGTTGCGAGTTGGAGCTGTCATAGCTTATGGCTAGAGTCATGAGGATCTAATAGAGAGAACAGCAAGAATAATGAGCACGGAGTCCGTCAAGCGAGCGGTAGGAACGGCAGACAAGTGCTTGGTAGGCTAACAGCCCAGTGAACCGAGCGGGACACTCGACGAAGGGGGGTACACTGAGCAAGTACGAGAAATTAGTCCCGCTCTACTTTATTAAAAGCAATGACCACTACGGGAGGTCAAACCAAGGACCTATGCAAGTCGGGGCTCATCCCCATTTAGTATTGGATCAAATAATAGGGGGTCGTAGCATTGACATTTTTTTTTTGATTCAATACAATTAGGGGAAAAGATCGTCAATTCCCTACTGCGACAAGAGAAAGTCACAACGATCATCCGCACGCTGAGTGTCACAATCGCACTTTAACGGAACTCAGAAAGCGATTGTGTGACACTTGCTTTCATCCTCTAGCAAGTCAGCCAATACGAAATCGAATAGCCGGTGGCACAAAGGCAATATGTCGCAACCTCCACCCCCGTTCTCGAGAAAACGGCTTTTGGAAAATGGGTTAGAGAAAAAGGTTTTGGAAAACGTTTAAAAGCATTTTGGAAGTTGTTGTAAGCTTGAATGCAAGAGAATAGATTAACGGCAAGACAAGAATACAACGCAATGTAGGGAGAATGACTAAGTATACCCCCTATAGTACATTCTAAGGCATATTTGCTATGGCAGGCGTGAACATGCAAAGTGGCGAGGAGTCACTCGCCACCAAAAGTACAAGGAAAATAAAATAACAAGCAAAACTAAATAAATGACATAAAAGTATGTGGAAAGAGGTTGTTATGGGCATACAGCCACAGACAACAGGCCCTGGACGAGCATGACCATGACACTGAGCATACCTCTTCTATGCGTCTCTCTCATGGCGGGATATTATTTGTTTGCAGTTTATTTAGGTAGTGTTGGGTAACATATTTGAAAATTGAATTTCAAACTACAAAATTGTTCTACTTAAGGAATATATTCTTAAACTAATAATAATTACCAACTAAATATTTATGTTTAGTTTAATGTAAAATAATATCAATTAATTTTTGTAATAAATTTTGAATAATTATTATTTTACAAGGTTATATAATTTATAATATATTATATTTTAAATGTATTAATTTTAATACAAATAAAATGAGTTTATATGAAATAATATTTATTAAAGTTTTTATTTTTTTTACTTTTAAATATAATTAAAAATTTTAAAGTTTTAAATTCAAAATCTTAAAAAGAAAAAATTATTAAATGCTACCAAATGCATATTCATTAAATCAATTTGATTAAGTAAATATGAAAAAAAAAACAAAGTCTGCATGCCCCCAAACAAATCCTTAGGTATTATTTAAGAAAAGTATAATATTGTCCGAAATATTTCTTCAAGGTACATACGTTTATATATATTATAGATATTGATAATAAAAATAGAAAATAGTTTCAAATTTGTTTTATTTTTACGATTTCTAGAAAAAAGAATAATTAATTACTATTTTGTCCCAATTCTTTCGACATTGGTTTACTTTAGAATTTGTAATTTCAAAATATTCATTCCAATCTTTTTACTTTTAAAAAATTATTATTTTGGTCCCTTCATTTATATTTTTGTCTAATTTATTTAAATTAAAAATATAACACTATGATACACTGTTAATTTTTTTTTTTGAGATGTAACAATAAATTTATATTAAAGAATTTTTTTTATATTTAAAGTTTGTGTTAACATTTTGTAAGAAAGAAGGAAAATGACCATTTTAAAAAATAGAAAGGCTAAAATGTACCAAAATTGAAAATAATTGGACAAAAATTATATTTAAACCAAATAAATAGGAAAAACGAAGGTTTTAAATTTTCAAAAAATGGCAAAGAGAAAACGCGGCTGAATATGAGCAATAGCCAGTTGGACTCCATCTGGGAAGGGAAAACGACGTCGGTTGATCCCCTCACTGACAAACAATCTTTCCGGAAAAAAGAAACAAAAAATTAATTGTAAAATTAATAATAACGAAAGAGAGAGAAAAGGGAAAAAAAAAAAAAGAGAAGCGACGAGCTGAAGCTTAGCTAAATTGGAATTCATTCAGATCACTCTGCATTTCTTCTTCTTCTTCTTCTCCCTTTTTTTAGGGTTCTGCAATTTCACGTCTTCCGATCGCCGAATCACTCACGGCTCTGTTGATTTCCTCTTGCATTTGTTCTGAGATTTTCTAGTTTTCTCAAATCTCACCTCCATCTCTCTCACTGCCGTGTTCTGAATCTGACGAGCTTCGTTTCGACTAGCATCTTTGGCGGGTTGTGATTTGTGTGTAATTTGCCGAGATCTCTTTGTAATTCCGACTGGATCGGACCGGACGGGGATTTGGAGGCTTCCCGATTGCCTATGGCATCGAAGAGGGGTTTGTTGTCCGCTACAGCTGCGCAGAGGGGTAGAGCTGGTGGTGGATCTCGATTTCCTGTTCTACTTGTCATTTTATTCTTGTTTCTCTCCCCCGTGATTTTCTTCTTCAGCCGAGGTTTCCGTTCTGCAGGTTTGTTTGTTGTCTCTAGATTTGTTTCTCGTTCTTGCAATGTAGGTGATTTAGAGATTTTATTTAATCGAAAGGCTAGTTCTCCTATGAAGATTGATGCTGCCGACACTTTTCTTCTTCCTAAGGATGTATCGATTTGTCAACTTCATGGATGTTTTATTCTGTTTTCGTCTTACGAAATTCAATTGCTGATTAGTGGAGTGGAAAAAACCCGACTGGTCACGATAAATTTGTGTCGGTGCCTTGGATGTTTTCAATTGTACCGGGGAAATTTTAGAATAGTTCGGAGAATACAGATGTGGACGTTAGAGGTTGTCGGTCACTCGGTCTTAGTTAATCTTAGAACACCTTGCGGAAGTTGGTCTTTGAGTTGATGTCATGCTTGATTTTGTTTTTTTGTTTTGCAGATCTTGAAATTGTTTCGAATGGCTCTCTGCAGCGGGTAAGTATCAATGTGGTTGATTTTTCTTACCATTCACAGAGGGTTTAGGACCTTGTGGTTCAGGATGCTTTTCTAGTTATTCTAAGACATACGACTTGAGAACGCAGGATGTTGGATGGAGAGAAAGGATAGCATTGCAACAGATCAAGTCTCTTTTCACTAAAGAGGCAAGTGCTTGTTGATTTAGATAGAATGCATCTAGTTATTTCTGTGGTATCACAGTTTTATGCTTTGGTTGCTATGCAACAAACGATGTAGTTTCACTATTTGTTTGGCCTACTCTCTCACAGGAAAAGATTATCAATTATATTTCAGGTAATTGATGTGATTGCTGCTAGCACAAATGATATGGGTCCCTATAGTCTTGACCATTTTCGAAAAAATAATTTGTCAGCCTCGTGGAAAGTAAATGGTCAAGAGGCTACGCTTGATGGCATTTCTGAGGTTGGTTTGGCCTCATCCTTTATATCTATGACGTGGTGGATTCTTCTTGTTTTACATTTTTCCTTCTTGTCCTGATCATTCTCATATGTCTCTGTTTGTAGAAAAACCAAATTTTTGTTGATATTGGGAAAGAAATACCCAACAGCAAAGAGATCAAACATACAGGTGGGTGTTTGAAATCTTTCATGTCGTGTAATAATTTATACCTTGATGTTCTTTTCTTTGATTGATTTAGTTATCTTGTGCAGATGCTGGTTCCCAGTCTATGGATAGTCCTGTAAAACGGGCTAGAAGGGTAATTATCAATCTTAAATGATCTGCATTTCTTATTTTCTGTGATTTTTCACTTTGAAAACTAGTGTTAGGTTTACATCATTCATATATTAAGGGGTGATACTCTGTTATCTTAACCTGTTTTGGTTAGATTTGTCGTGTCATCTTATTTTATTGTATTTCTAAATTATGTATGCTGCATTTGCATTTACCATGGGTTTTATACTTAAGTTTAGCTACTTGTGCAGCAACTACGAGAAAAAAAACGTGAAAAGCGTGCTACTCAGTTGCTTCAACAGGATGACGATATTCTTATAAAACTTGAAAATGCTGCTATTGAGCGCTCAAAATCAGTTGATACCTCCGTTCTGGGTAAATACAGTATATGGAGGAAAGAAAATGAGAATGAGAACTCTGATTCAACTGTACGCTTGATGCGGGACCAAATGATTATGGCAAGGGCATACTTGGGTATAGCAAAGATGAAAAACAAGCTTGACCTGTATCATGAACTCCAGACTCATTTGAAAGAGAGCCAACGTGCCTTAGGAGAGGCAAGTACTGACGCTGATCTGAACCGAAGGTAGCATCATCGTTTCTACATCTTCCCACTTTTTTTTTGGGAGAATTGTAACTCGAAGAAATTTCGTCACAGTTACCTGATCTTTTGCTGTTTTGTATATTTTCTATATTGTAACTCAAAGTATCATCTGTTGTTCGTTTATTTTGTTTGCAGTGCTCCTGATAAAATAAAGTCCATGGGCCAAATTTTGTCAAAGGCAAAAGAGCAATTATACGACTGCAAGTTGGTTACAGGAAAGCTAAGAGCAATGCTCCAATCGGCTGATGAAGAAGTCAGAGGATTCAAAAAGCAAAGCACTTTTCTCAGTCAGTTGGCTGCCAAGACCATACCTAATGGAATTCACTGCTTATCCTTGCGTCTAACTATAGACTATCACCTTCTTCCCCTAGAGAAAAGAAAATTTCCTAGAAGTGAGAATTTAGAAAACCCAAATCTTTATCATTATGCTCTCTTTTCAGACAATGTCTTGGCGGCATCAGTCGTTGTCAACTCAACTATTGTGAATGCTAAGGTATCTGACCTGCCTCTAGCACCTGAAGCTTTGTGTGTGTGTGTGTGTGTGTGTGTGTTTTATTTTTATTTTTATTTTTTTTCTGAGAAAAGCTTGGGTGTTCATAAACATATTTTTTGCATTACGTTCCAAATTCAATACAAGCACAAATTTTTATTGTTAAGAGAATTACTAGTCCCATTGGTGATAATTGCGACAGATTCAGAATATTTTTTTCTAGCTCATAAGGCATTTTTATGGTACTGTGGCTTCAATTTTTTTGAGAGATTAAGGACTGCAGACAAATCCTTGTGGTAATTTCTTTCTTTTTTTATTTATTATTATTATTATTTTTATAGAAAATCCTATTTTGTTCTTTGATTGGATGACTTATTCCATTTTGGTTCATAAACCTTCCATCATGTTGTTTTTGTCTTTAATTTTTCATAGAAAGATGCTTTTTGTTTTTCTTTCATTTACTTGATTAGACAAGTGTCCGAAGTCGCATGTAGCAAATGGAACAATATATTTTGAAATGAATTTATGTGTTGAGGTTTTTATGAAGCTATTTTATTTGATGGTTAAAGGAGAAAATAACATTTTAAATTTTAAGAACCAGTATGAAAGTTAAAAGAACTAAAATAGGATTTAAACAAAAATTCTATTTCATTCCTTCTGAAGTTTTTGTTACTGCAACCCATATGATGATTACCTTTCTACATTTGTTGGATGCAAAGAGTGAAGTTATACTATCAGGTCACATATTTGCTAGTCCTTCACCTATATGTTGTTCCTAACTAGATAATGTATTGTTGGATATATTGCAGGATCCTTCAAAACATGTATTCCATCTTGTTACAGATAAGCTTAATTTTGGTGCCATGAACATGTGGTTCCTGTCAAATCCTCCTGGAAAAGCCACAATCCATGTTGAAAATGTTGATGAATTCAAGTGGCTAAATTCATCTTACTGTCCAGTATTACGTCAACTTGAATCTGCTGCAATGAAAGAATACTATTTCAAGGCTGGACATCCAACCACTCTTTCATCTGGTTCGTCAAATCTGAAGTACAGGAACCCAAAGTATCTTTCTATGCTTAATCACCTGAGGTTCTATCTCCCTCAGGTATATCCCAAGTTGGAAAAGATTCTGTTTTTGGATGATGACATTGTTGTCCAGAAAGACATGACAGGATTATGGGATGTGGATCTTCATGGTAAAGTTAATGGTGCAGTTGAAACCTGTGGCGAGAGCTTCCACCGTTTTGATAAGTATCTAAACTTCTCCAATCCTCATATTGCAAGAAAATTTGATCCTAATGCATGTGGATGGGCCTATGGGATGAATATGTTCGACTTGAAGGAGTGGAAAAAGAAAGACATTACCGGCATATATCATAAATGGCAGAACTTGGTCAGTTTTCAAATCTGTCTACTGAGTTTTTTTATATTGATATTTAACCAAATATTCAGCTACATATATTTCCTCATCAAATTGACTTAGATGTTCATTTTCCCCCTTTTTTGTTGTCAGAATGAAGAAAGGTTACTCTGGAAGCTAGGAACATTACCTCCAGGATTGATTACATTTTATGGACTAACACATCCACTTGACAAGTCGTGGCATGTGCTTGGTTTGGGTTACAATCCAAGCATTGACCGGTCAGAGATTGAGAATGCAGCAGTCATACATTACAATGGAAACATGAAACCTTGGCTTGAATTGGCTATGACAAAATATCGTGGCTATTGGACCAAGTATATCAAGTACAATCATCCTTACCTTCGCCAATGCAAGTTAAATGAATAAGGCTGATTTTAAAGGTCTTAGATAATGAACGAGAATTCTCGATCTATCCCGTAATGAGAGTTGTGCTGCTATATCTCTCGCACAAAAACATTGGTTGGTTCCCACATTAGATTGGGGGGGCTGGGGTATACTCATAACATGTTTTAATATGCCCCTCTTCCCTATTTCTCTCTTTATAATTCATTCCATTCATTCCCATTCTCGTACCCTCTGGTACAAGATATGATATTCATTCCCTTGTTAACATGTAAATCCATTAATTGTATTTTGCTGTTAGCCAAACTTGAATTGGATTAGGAAGTCCATGCCAATTGGCTGTAATTTTTGAACAACCGACAATCTGCTTCTTTAAATCCATTATCCATAGTATAAATTATAGATTCAGAAGTTGATGCACCATGATTTTTTTTTTTGTTAATTGGAGGACTGGATTCTGATATTACTCAAATATTGGTACCGCAACTACAAGCTTACATCAATTTTCTTAAAACAATTTGCTCTCCCCATGTTCTGTTTTCCAATTCTTGTTCCAACTAGCAGCCAAATACTAAAATTTCTTCTAGATTCATGAATGGTTAGCTTGATGTTTCAATAGTTCCTTCAGTAGTATAATGTTCTTTGCCTATATTTTATGGTAAAGGTTCATTATCTTCTGGTCCATCTGGAAGAGTTTCTTATGATTAACTTTAAATTTGTTGAGATCCTATTGGCTGAACAGGTGGATTGGTCGTCGATCTTGGAATGTGCTTGTCTTTACCTTTCCTCCTTTCCTTGAATGACAGATTTACTTCTGCTTTTATGTTGATTTGATTTTCATGAAAAGGGTATTAGTCAAGCCTTGTTTGGAGCAAAATGCAATGGAAGTTATAGATTTGTTGTGAAAGATACTCTGAGTTGACCTCTTCATTGCCACTTATCCGGAGATTAGCCCTTCATTATCATATATTAATGATATGACTAATCAACTCCATTTAATTTTGTTATTGTTTGCAGGTGCCAGAATCCACTTATTAATGGATTCTTAAAGCCTCGACTTTGGTAGCTACTTTCTTCATAGTTGCTCTTTCTTTTCCATAATTAATTTCCCAAAGTATCATTCAGCCAAGAACCCCCTTTTTGTGTGATATTGCTTGTTTTGTTTATATGCAATTAATCGATCGACAAAATCTTGACTCTTAGTCCATCTTCTCAAGCACTGCCTTTTTAAGCAGAGATATATTCTTGTGAATTGATTCCCATTTGATTGATCTATCAGATTTTACAAGATGCGAAAACTGATTTGAGGTCTGCTGAGGAAAATTTACACGACCAGGTGTGATGTGGTACAAGTTCTATGCTCTTATGAGAATTTGTGGTCTCCTCTGCCTTCCTTCTTTATATGGAAAAAGGTTAGTTTTAGAATATGTTGAGAATTCCATAAGTAGTCAAGGAATTTTGCATGATATTGAAATCCAAAAAGTGTGGTTTTGGCACATTGGTTTGTGCATACTGAACCAATTAGTTTTGAACAAGTTGGATTCAAGTAGTGGTGCCCAAACAGAGTCTAAGAAATGGAAAGTGAAAAAGGCGTCTTTTCTTTCTCTCTCTCTCTCTCTCTCTCTCTCTCTCTCTCTCTCTTTTTTGCCCTAAGTTGAACCTCATACAAGATGTGATGGGTGTCTCAAAATAAGCCAAGTTATTAGAAGTTGGCTTTTCATGGGGGGATGGCCTAAATTTGGAATCCAAAATTCTCCACCATTGCATGTGGGACTCTGGTCTTATGTTGTCATTCTTTCTTTTACAACTAGTGCATTAGTGATAGTTCTACTTCATAAGGTTGTCTCCACAAAAGAAAAATAAAGTTTTAGACTTTAGACTAATTCGATTGTGTGATTGGATGTGAATTTTTTGCAAAAGTATTTTTAGCGAATTAAAAATATTCGGCTGGTTCCAAAATTCAGTGAGCACTAATTAGTTTTTTTAAAGTGATTTGTATTGTTTTCCTGACTTTCAAAATCATTTTGACTAGTCTTTTTTATTTGTGTTCTTGTCGGGTCTTTTAATCATGTTGCGTCTGGATTGGTTGTGAGATTCATATTTTTTCTTTCACTTTTGCAAAAAAATAAAAGTCATACCAAATTCGTGAAAATTTTGAAAACCACTTATTGCTATTTTAAAAACCATACTAAAACAATCTTTAATTCTACTAACTTTTGTCTTAAAAGAAGAGATATGAAAGCATACACTAATTGGGAATTTAATAACATTTAAAACCCTATCTCTAAATCTCTAATTAGAATATTAGCTGATTGGGTGGGGCATTGGCATCCACACCAACAAAAAAAAAAAAAAGGTCTGTTTCTTCTTTTTATTTAACACATCAAGTTTAAAGGGTTATTTTATCTCTAATTTATAACGATCGTTTTCAAGTTTTTTCTTTTGTATATTATTTTCTTTATTTTTGTTGAAAGGTTTCAAGTTTTTTTCTTCGTTGGTTTATAAATTTGTTTACTAATTTGTAGCATGGCCATTTTTAAGTTCCCTTATTTCTTTTTTGGAGATGAGCTTTTAGTAATAACATTTTGACATCGATAAAATAATGAGGATACTCGAGCTGTTCATTTTGTTTGGGTCAATAGTGTTTACTCCAACTTTATTTCATACAAACAAAAAAGAAGTCAAATGTTCAGTTGCAAGAATGATATTTCAGTGTTTACTCCAATTTTCCTTTGTTTTCCAACTCTTCAAGAATTAACTGTGAGCTAAAATTTGAAGAATTATCGATTACTAAATTTGGCCCAGTAGAATTATCAAATTTGCACCAATATCTTGAAATATAAAATTACATACGGGTGTGATGCGAGTCACACACACTTTGATGCTTTAGGTAAGAATCGAGACTTCTTATAAAGAATAGCAAGAAGTAGAGTTTTGTAGTGAACCTTCAATATAAGTCATTTCTTCTATTTATAGAAAGGAAATCGTTTCTTCTTAAGATATCTTCTTATTTTTGAATAGTTGAGCCATAGATATAATTCCGAAATTGTCAAGCATTCTTTGGATTGCCAATGGGATTCAAAAACAACCTAGGCCGACCAACCAACTACTGGGCTGGTTGGCCTTGGCATAGCGTCGAGACTAGGTGCCAAGGTCGAGACCTTGGCTGGTTGGCCTCAATTGGTCGGCCAAGCACCGAGGCATTGGGTATTGGCATCATAGTGCCGGTGTCCACTCGTGGTCAATGCCTCACTGTTTTGGTTGTCGTTGTTTTTGACCAAACTCTTTAAACAATTGTTAAGGCTCGTGGCCTCTTTTTGTCTTGAGCAAACTTATTGATTATTTCCGTTCATTCAATAAAAATAAGGTTTTATTCAACTCATATAACACGCTCAAAAGATATATTGAACTACACTGACTCTTAAAATGGCCGCTTATATACCGATGTCAAAATTCCCTTTTTTTTAATAAAAATATCACCTCCCAAAATACAAATGCGATGATTCAAACTCAGACCTCTTAGAACAAGAAGTAAAAATACCTTAACCATTGAGCTATGTCCCTATCGACCAAAATTCCTTACCTTTTCAAACATATACATATCCAATAGATAAACGACCCTAACATGTATCTTAAAATGTAATTGTAATTACAGTAAAGGTGAAGTGATGCTTACCTTGGCCAAACTGAATCTGCATATAGTAAGGGAAAGCCTCTTACTTTAGATGCATCTAAAGTAAATGGAGTCATTGGATAAGTTCCACCTACCTCACTGCCCGCCCTTAAACAAGACGAAGAGTGTATTTGGGAGTGATTTTGACATGATCAAAATTACTTTTATCATTGTCAAAATCACTTCTCTTGTCATTGATCGTGTTTGGCAAATTAAAAATTGATTTTATTAAATTTATTTTTAAAGTATCACTTAGATAGTGATTTTGAAAAATCAATTATACTTAAATCTATTTTTTCAAAATCACTAATTCTAACATCACTCCCAAACATACCCTAATTAGCTTTCTTTTATTTCCTCACACGTATACTCTTGAGAACGGTTGGCTGAATATTTATTTGATTAAAATAAATAATAACACTTATAAGAAGGTCAATCAATATAATTTGTATATATAAAGTTGAACCCAAAAAGGCTTAATCCTAGCTACCTATAGATGGGCATGAAACAGCCTGTAATGAAAATAAATGTATATATCAGAATTGAGAAAACAAACAAAGAATAATATTATTGTATGTGCTGATTAATTAGTTGAATAAAGTAGAGATTAAGTAATAATGAGAAATAGGCGACAAACTATAAGACTAGCTCGTACAGTTGCATGCAACCAAACCAACACACACGACACAATCTAATTGATAGGAATGACGCAACAGTTCAAATTTCCTTAACCCATCAGATTCCTTCCCACTTCTCGACTTCTCCAATGCCAAAATCCCTCTTGTCTTTGCTTTGCCTTTTCACCTCTCTCTCTCCCTCTTTTAAATTCCCTCTCTCCCTCTTCTCTCTTCTTCATCTTCTAATCATCTCCCTCTCTCTCTCTCTCTCCCCCTCTCTCAAACCAAGCTTTAAGCCTTAATTAAGCCATGCCAACTCTCTCTGCTTCTTCTGATAATCCTCTTGTTTTGGACTCTTCTGTTTCCCAAATCCCGTCTCAGTTCGTCTGGCCCGAGGCTGAGAAGCCGTGCCATGACTTGCCTGAGTTTCATGTCCCTCCTATTGACTTGAACGCCGCCTTCGTCTCCGATGACCCAACTGCTCTCTCCGAGACGTGTCGCCTTCTCAACCAGGTTTGTTGAACTACTACGTACCATTGAGCTCGAAAGTTTAAGTTCTTTTGTGAGAGTTTGTATATAACACTATTACTCATTGTTTGGTTGGGTTTAATTTGAATATTAACTCACATGATTTTTTTTTTCATACTTTGATATCATGTTAAACTCTCGGTTTATCATTTAAACCAAAAGGCTTGAATTCGTAGTTTACGATATATTTAGGTCGAGTTTGATAACTGTTTTGGTTTTAGCTCTCCGTTTTTTAAAATTATGCTTGCTTTAGCACATTCTTTGGCATGTTTTTCACCTTTCTTAAAATTTGGTTTGACTTCTTGGTCTATTTTAAAAATATAAAAATAAGCTTTTAAAAATCTATATTTTCTTTAGTTTTCAAAACTTGACTTATATTGTGAAAATATTAAAAAAAAAAAAAGAAAATAACAAACTAAAGAAATAGATGAATAGAAGTAGTGTAGCTTACTTTTTAAGAATAGGAAACAAAAAATGAAATGACTATCAAACATGTCTTTAATTATTTCATTCGTACTTTTAGCACTTCCCATCGTACTCGTGGGTTTTAAAATTAACACAAGACCCAAAAGGTAACTATCAATAACATTATGTAGAAAGTCTTGCTTTAAAATACCATGTTAAACTATCATTAAACTAAAATTAACGGCGTATATATTTAATCTTTTATTTATATTCTTAACAGGTATGCCAGAAGCACGGTTTCTTTCTCGTGGTTAACCATGGCGTCGATGCGGAGCTAATAGCGAAGGCGCATAAGTTCATGGAGTCGTTCTTCGGCATGAAGCTCGAGGAGAAGCAGCGGGCTCGGCGGAAGGCGGACGAGCACTGCGGCTATGCCAACAGCTTCGTTGGGAGATTCTCGTCCAAGCTTCCATGGAAGGAAACTCTCTCTTTCAGATATTGTGCTGATGCTGCTTCCTCTACTCTTGTTGAAGATTACTTTGTTGAAGCTTTGGGAGAAGATTTTAGAAATGCTGGGTAAGAAAAATCTCTATATAATCCAAAACATCAAAAGGGAGTTTAATCTTCATGTTTTGATTTTGTTATTTGTTTGAGTATATGTGCCATGATTTAGTCCCTATTATTAAAAAAAATTCAATTTAATTCTTTACGTTTTAACATTTTTCAATTATATTGATTTCATCCGTAGATATTAAATATAATTTATGATAAATTTACATGGGAAAATTTAGAGGACAAGTAATAAACTGGACCGACCAACCAATTACAAAGGAATATTTGGCTTCTTATCATCTTCACCATCATTGAAAAATTAACAACTCATTCTATTTTAAAAAATATTTGTTTTTTCATTTCTCTCTTTCCGTTGTCTTTTAATGACAGTGACTGTTTAAAAAGCCAAATATTTTCCTTATGTTTCATAACATTTTAGAGATTTGAAAGAATTATAAAGTTTTCTTCTTTCAAATTTCCATCAACTCACCAGGAAGCTTACCATCAACGATTTACTAAAAAACTACCGACGTAAAAGGTATAATTAAAAAATAATGTTAAAAGGAAAATACTTAGACTCATTTTACTACTAAATGTTGGACAACTCATTATTATTTAAAAAAAAAATTTATGTTTTTGTATTCTCTCTCTATTAGTTATTAAATATTTAATGCAAGGTCCCTCCATATTGTTGGAGAGACAAGTATTTTCCATGTTAAAATTAAGGATTACATTGAAACTTTTTGAACGTACCCTGACATAACCCTGACATAACTAAAATCAAAAGTTGCTTTTCTCTCTCCCCTCCAAAGTATCCATACTCAATGCCTTATTTTAAAACTTTTTACAAGGAAGAGAGACAAATGCGAATTTTTTTTTCAAATAACTAAAAAGAGTGGTCGACGATAAGATAGATGCGAATTGCACCTAAGTATTTTTCCCTATCAAAATCTCGCTGGTCGGGTAGCAGGAATTTCTCGCTGCCTAGTCGGTAAGAAAGTTCTGTCATTTAAACAATAGAAGCTAAATTAGAAAAAGAAAAAAAAAGAAAAAAAAGAAGAAACACTCCAACATTAAAACTAAAACAACAAAAAAAGACATATATGTTGTAATGTAACATAGTTTAGTACAATTAATTTTGTTCTGTTATTCAGGAAGCTGTACCAAGAATACTGCGAGGCAATGAGCAAGCTGTCGCTGAGAATAATGGAGCTTCTGGGGATGAGTTTAGGAGTTGGAAGACAATATTTCAGAGATTTCTTTGAACAAAATGATTCAGTTATGAGACTAAATTACTACCCACCTTGCCAAAAACCAGACCAAACTCTTGGAACTGGCCCTCACTGCGACCCTACTTCCTTGACCATCCTTCACCAAGACCATGTCCATGGCCTCCAAGTTTTCGTGGACCGCGAGTGGCGCTCCATCGCCCCCAACCCTGATGCTTTCGTCATCAACATCGGTGACACTTTCACGGTAACTCACTCACCTCTCTGATTAGTACAATATAAGTGACTATAATATATTTGTACTACTGTCCTCATTGTCGGTTGGGTTTGAGATGAAATCGTGAATATGAATAGAAAATGTGATAAAATTTAAATATATGCCGACCTGCCAACTTAAGTTTTTAGTTTCATACTGAATTTTTTAACCTGGATTTATTTAGTTCTTATACTTTAAAAAGTCTTTTAATATCGTCTTTGAAAATTTTAGATTAGGTTTTTTAATACGGTTTTTGAAATCAATTTGTTGGACAATTCTTAAACTAAGATAATTTTATTTATGGGTGTTAAAACTAATGGAGTTAACTCTATGGACACTTTTTTAAATAACAATATAAATAGTAACTATCAGGGAAAATGTTATTGTGACTAGAGATGAGGGATACAAGAATGAATTCGAACCCCGACACCGTGGTTTGTAGCCACGTGCTTTAATCCTCTGAGCTACATGTCCCACCTCGTCTCCATTGGATCTATTCCTACAGTAGCCTAAAAAAATAACCTTTCCTCTCACCAACCATTTACCATTTTGGGTTAAGACGATGTGAAAGCATCTCTCTATAAGAATGATGCGTTCCAAGGTGTGGAGTGAGAAAGGAAAGTTGGAGAGGAGGGGTTTCATAGTTGGAGTTTGAATAAGACGGCCTTTTCATTTTTCATTATTTTTCCATATTAAATATTGAAAAGTACCAATACCATATCCGAGTGTTGATGGATTCTCAAATCATGGAAGCATGGTTAAGAATTGATAGTTACTATCTATACTAACAAGGTGTACATTCTTTTTCGATTGTTGAGTAATCATAAAAACTCCAAAATTAAGCATGCTTAACTTGAAACGACTCTGAGTTCGGTGTCCTCTGGAGTCAAAGATTTATTAGATATTTTTAAAAGTTAATGAGAACTAAATATAGACAAATCGTTATAGAATAAAGAATCAAACTTTGTAATGGAACCTTTAAACATGATATCAGAACATGTCATATGTTCGAATATCCTTAACATGATCATAGTTTCATCCGATCGCTATAACTTATCGATTTAAGCTTTTAAATTTAGTGGTAATTGACCGATCGACGACTCGATTTTTGTGTTTCAGGCGTTGACGAATGGACTGTACAAGAGTTGCTTGCACAGAGCAGTGGTGAACGAGGGAGCTGTGAGGAAATCTTTGGCTTTCTTTCTGTGTCCAAATGAAGAGAAAGTGGTGAGTCCACCAAGCTGTTTGGTTGACGAGAAAAATCCAAGAATTTTCCCGGATTTCAGATGGCCAACTTTGCTGGAATTTTCTCAGAAACATTACAGAGCTGATGATAGAACCCTAAATGCCTTCTCCAACTGGCTCTTCCAAACAACACTTTCCACCAATTGACATCACATATTATTCCACAATAATATCAACCCTTCTTCTTCCTTCTTCTTTTATGTAAATTTTAATCAACCTATAACAAATTACATCCCTATCTCGTATTTTCCACGCGTCGTTTTGGAAAATGATTTCGAATGTTTTACTAGTTTGTGAGATCAGGTTATTATATGATCTTAATGTTCTATTAGTTGATTTTAACGGGATTGATACACGTACGAACGGGTATTGATTTTCGTCGAAGTTAAATAATGGAATTTTTAGTAGAGGAGTATGATTTCTTAAATCTCACAAATTATAAAGCATTGACATTGTTTTGTGAAGGAGTACAAGGATTCATGGTTTGTAAAATAAGTGAAGTATGAGAAGTTGTGGTTTGTAAATTATGTCTATGAATAAAATAGTTTTTTATTTGAAAATTTAAAAACCTCTCAATTTAAATATATGTCAATTACCGTCTCGCTTTAGAAAAGTAGATTTTATGTTTATAATTAACTATTAATTTTTTTTTTTGCTACATTTACAATGACTTTAACAAATTGATAAGGTCAAGATAATGTGATCTTAGATCTAATAGATAAACTCAAGTTATATAATGATTGGATTTTTGGTATCTGACAACAAATTTCAGTCTTTAATAAATATTTTCTCGTTACATTCTAAAATATTAATAATAATAATAATAACGTCAATAGATATATCCTCTCAGATTCTAAAAAAAAAAACAAACAAACAAAATTTGAGATGGAAATTTTATGTACGTAGAAGCAATTAGCATCATAAAAATTAATTAATATATCATTAAACTATGTGATAAGATATTATATCCCAAGGTTGTGATTAATGTTACAAATTTCTCATGAAAAGGAAAGCCTAACTTAGTGTGAGTTCCTTGAGAGTTAAGATGGTCTTGTTTGTCAACAAATTAACAAGCTACTCTACTCTATAATATATAGTTTTTGTGGACATATAATAGCGCCTATAAGTCTATAAGTTTTATCCTATCAACTTCTTTTCATAATTCGAATATTTTTTTAACAACCAATCAACATTCTTATTTAGCTGACTACTATTAAATTTTTGACAAGTACGAGAGAAATATATAAAAAGATAAACATAGATGTATATATATATATATGTATTCTGTTTTTCAAAAAATTAAAGAACTATCAAATTTTTTTTATTAGTGATTAGTAGAAAGATAGTGCTAACGGATCAATTCCTAAATATTTTTCTATTTTCACCTGTTATGTATATATTTTTGGTATCTCCTCTGACCAATATGTCTGTTTTCTTTAACCAATATTACAATTCATGTGAGAAAGGGAGATTCAAAAGCTCTGACACATTGTAATTTACACATTGGAAAATTACAAATATATTTTTATTTTTTTTAATTTTTGAGTTTAACAAATATAAGTTGGAAATGAAATTTTCAAATAAGGTATATAAATATCTCTTTTATCTTGACTTGCACTCAACTTAACAATCATATGTTAATTTGGTAACATCATAATCTTTATCCTATAATTGAGTGGAGAGATAAAGATAGAAAATCAAATATCATTTTTCTTTTTTGGCCATTTAAATTCATTTTAACTAAATATATTTTATCATTTTTTGGTACAACAAATATATGTGAGTTAGGATTCAAACTCACGATCTTTTAGTCAATAATATATATTTTAACTAATTGAGTTATGTTCAAATTGATTTTATCATTAGTATTTATACCTGTGTTTGTCATATTTTTGTTGACATTCTTTTATATTCTATTAATATTTATATTTATGATATGGATCGACACCTATTATTAATATCCAACTTTCTTTATTTATAAAAATATCTACCTATGTGGCCTTGGTAATTTCAATAATAAGATCTTTTCTACTCATTTGTTTTTTTTCTCCCTAAAAAAATACTCTTAACATTGTTTTCATTCTAATTCTTCTTGATTTTCTGGTTGCCCTATCTAATATTCATCTTATAATATTTCTCCACTAAAGATTCTCCCAAGGATATGCTATGGGTAATTAATTTGATCCCATGAATTAACGTTTTTTTAGTACACATTTACCGTATGCTAAATTCACTTGAAGTAAGGTCAAATAAATGATGCGAGCCAAATTATTTACGTCAAGGTAGCCATACCAGATCCAACCGGTCCACCCGATCCCACCCAAAGATACATTTTCACCGTCATATTCTTTACTACGTTCAATTGACATAGGAATGTGTTGAACTTATCATCACATTGGTGTTCAAATACTGCCTACAAAAAGAAATCTATAAATTATTAAAATGTTTTGGGCAGTTTTTTATATTTTAGAACTCCTTTATGAAAAAATGTTTTTAAAATTGGGAGTGATTGATAGGTAAAATTTAAAAGTTAACATTTACGTACTAAAAAAATTTATATTTTAAAAAAATCATTTGTAAGAACACAGTTTAAATTAAATAAAGAATAACAATAACAACTCTCTACTAGAATCTTTATTTCTCGAGTCCTTCACCATAATAATTAAATTAATTATTGAGACATCTTATTGATTACAATTTCATTTTTTAATTTTTAATTTTTGAATATTATGCTTCGAATGGGATAGTTTTGAAACTTTTTTTTTACTACAAATTTTTAAACTATTTGTAATGAAAATGAAAATTACTTTAGAAAATATTTATAAAACTATATAGTTTAAAACCATATATTTGAATAATAGTTTTTTTTAAACACATATAGCTAGTGAGAAATTGATTGAAAAATACTAATTACTAGACTATTTTGTAAAGGATAAAATTATGCCTTAAGTCACAAAAATTGTGTCTTCAAAATACAATTTCACCGGGTTGAATGTTATGTCACTAAAACTACCATATTATCTCCTAAATATTTTTAAAAATACCATTTTTGTAATTACTTTTAAAAAATACAATATGTTTATAAATATTATTAAACTATATAATATTAATTTTAAATAAACCCATCTTTTTCATGCATGACAATGACTTTCATTACGCTCCCATGCCATAAGGTTTAATTTATTATATTTTGGGAGCTACAAGCTTGAGCTTTTTGGTTGATTCTAAATTAAAATATTTTTAAAACATTTGAATGTATTTTTATTTTATGTGTCAAAAAGGATAAGTTTGCAATTAAAAACAAAATAAACAACAAAAGCCTCAATCACCCAACGGCCTCTACAATGTCCCTTTTTTTATTTTATATTTTCATTTAAATTTATATGAATAGTTCGTAACATGTTTTAAATTTTGATGTCTCAATTTTACAGAAATGTTGATGAAAGTATCGATAATATCGATGTCGATGGATATATATTTCTAAAAAAATCCTCAAAAAATATTTAAATGAATAAATATGAATTTAATCCTTTTTAAATAAGTTAAAATTCTTTCTTATTAATATTATGTTCACACTAGTGATATTTCGTTGATATTTATATATTGTATCGATTTTTCTTGTGATATTATAGAAATGTTGATTCACAAACCCATAGTAATGTTGTGTGAAAAAAAGCTAATCTATAAACCGCTATTTAGACTCCCTTCAACAATGGAGCACATCTTAGGCATTGTAGAAAAATGTTTTTTTTTTCTTTTTTGAGTACAAAAAATTGGCGGTATGGGCCAAAGCGAGCATAACAAGCGGTAATTGACATATATCTCTAACCAAAAAGTTGTGAGTTTGATCTCCCACCCTTACATATTGTACTAAAAAAAGAAAACAAATTGGGGGTATGAAAGTTTGAATCTCCAACTTCAAATGAAAGAGTATATATCAATTACCGCTAATCTATACTTGGTAGAAGACAAAACATATATATAATTCAACTGTTTAAGACTGTAATAACTTATGGTAAAATCAAATATTTGAATTTCGAACTATAGTTCCTTTACTAATTTTGTGCAACTTCTTTTTCTTTTTTCTTTCCTTTAAAGAGTATACTTAGTGTTAATATTCAACTGAAATGGGCTTTATGTAGTTAGCCCACTATTAAACAGGCTTTAATTGCCACTGGCCCAGGAGCCCAAACCAGTAGAGTAAAAGAAAATAAAATGGCCCGAAAAAGGGTATACTAATAGGGATAAGTACGTGTATATATAGACCATTTTAAGAAGCTAATTACATAAATGGGTTAAATCTTTATAATTTAAAATTTTGTTAAAATAGAAGCGAATTTAGAAGGGTAGTTATGTAAAATTTACCAACTTTCCCGTTATAATATGTGATTAATTAACAATCTTTTGTCGAGGGATTAGTTTGTCGACTTTTCGCACATCTATCATGAAGTCAATTCTTCGCAGACTGGCTTGTCCGTCGGGCTTCTTCAACTACTGCCGTCGGGTCTCTCTCCCTTGTTGATTGTTGATGCTATGGGGTCTCCATGTCCCGCTTTGTTCCTCTTTTAGTTTCTTAGGTTTTTTTGCCTCCTTCGATTTGAAATAAAAAAGAAATACAAAAATGAAAAATAAAATAATATTAAAAATATCATTCAAATTAATTTTAATTTGAAACCTCTACATTTTGTGTAAAAACCTCTTGGTTGGAGATATATGTCAATTACCGTTGAGCTATGCTCGCTTTTGCTTAAGATATGAAGTTAATATAGAGTAAATTTGGGATATATCACTAAAAGTTACATATTATATAACCTTTTAGAGAGCAATATATGTTTATCCTATCATATAATGGTCGTCGGAATATATTATATAACTTAGTAATTTATAAATAATAGCCACTGAAGTAATAGAAAGAATAACGAGGAAAAAAAACTTACAGTTGAAAATGAAAAAATTTCTAATTTAGTATATAATAATAAAAAAATATACATTATGTAATTTTTGGAAGAAGCTGAATTATATTATATAACCTATTACCAATAAAAAATATATATACATTATGAGAGTATATGTTTAGCATACTATTAAAAAATGACTCTGAAAAAAAAAGCTGAATTATATTTTTTAATATTTGAATATATCATATTTAATTAGGATATATGATTGGAGAGAGAAATTATGGAAATAAATAGACTTTAAATATATTATATTTAATATAAGAAATTCAAATTTGAAAACATCTCATTAAAAACTACAATCTAAACATTTATATAAAATTCAAATCTTATAAAAATAAAAGCAATAAACGAGTACAATCTTGCTATTAATAAAGAATTTAAATCTCAACACAGTATGTTTGTAAAAAATAGTTTTCAAAACAGTCTATAGAACCCAATTTCTCGTATTAATACTGAGGCTAAATATTATTTTTAAGATTGCATTATATTCCTAAGACTAGTTATGCATATAATTTTTTATGATTTTATTATGGATATCTGTATCTATACTATATAAAAATGGAGAATCTTGAAAAAATATTTATAGACTATTATACCCTTTTTTTAATTTATAAATTTAGATGTCATACAAAATTAATTGTAAATTAATTAATTAATTAATTATCAATAATAAATATTTACTTAATTATCAACCATAACAATTAAATGGAATCCAACAAGTTGGAAGAGTGAAAAGGTTGTTAATTAATTTGTGAAAGTTTAATTATTTTCACTAATAATAATAAATAATAGAATTTCAAAAGTGGTAGAATTACGAAAGATTTGTAACTTTTTCATCTTATACCTATATAAATAGGCATTTTATTCTACCAATACTCAAGCTACATTTTCTCATTATTTTTGTTTCTCCCTTATTTTCTTGCTTTAAAAATCTCTCTAATCTTAAAAGCAACTCATTTCGAGTCGGAACAAGATTTCGATATATTTATATATCGAAGTTGTGTCAAGAGTTTGTTTTTTTATTAATGAATGGCTTAATTATTTTCAATAATAATAACTAATAATAGAATTTTAAAAGTTTTGTAAATTTTTATCATCTACCACAAAATAGGTATTTTCTTCTAAATTAATGATAAATAATAAATTAATTAATACATTATAAATAATAAATATCAGCCCTAACAATAGTATGAAATTTATAAAATTTATTTTTTTAGGACAACATGGAATATAAAAACTTAGAATAGATAAAAGGTTGTCATATTTAATTTATCCAGAGCTTAATTATTTTTCCTAATAACAACTGATGATATAATTTCAAAAGTTTTAGAATTTTAAAAGATTCGTAGCTTTTCATCATTTACTAATATGAATAGATATTTTCTTCCATCATTTTTCACTGACACTTTAAGCTACACTTTTCTATTTATTTTGAGATTTTTTTTAAAGCAACTCAAGAGTCAAGACATACATACTAAATTCAAGTCGGCACAAAACTTATATATTAAAAGCTATATTATTTACTATTTTTTATTTTCGTAGCTATTGTTTTTATTTATTATTATGTAATTGCTATATTGTTGTGTTTTTTATTTGTTAATATTCTTTTTTTATAATTTGTATTATTAAGTTTTTTATTTAAAATGTTTGTGCATGTATTAATTATAATTTGACAACTCAAATCATATAGGTTGAAATTTCATAAGAAATTTAGTATCTTTGTTAAAATATTTTCTCATATATTTTTTAATAACAATAATTCAAATATATTAACTTAATTAGTTTTTTTAACAAAATTATATAATATTCGAGGTAAGTATTAGATAAAAATATTTATCTCAAAATGAAATATTCAAAAAATGAGTTATTTCCAATATAATAATTTTCCTTTTCCTAAAAAATTAAGAAAAATATATATTTTGAACCATAAAATATAACTATGATTTTTTAATAATAAAATAAGATGTATGCTAATAAAAAAGATTAACAATTTAATGAATGAAAACAAGATGAATTAACTTTAATTATTTATAAAATTATAAATGGTATCATATTAGATATATAAATGTGCATGGCAAGGTAACAAACTAGTACTAACAAAAAGGCTAGTTATGTATGTTTTTTTTTTCTTCCTTTTTGAATTGAAATTGTGGTTTTAAGCAACAAATTAAAAAGATTAGGTTAAAATTGAAACTTTAAAAATGTTAGGGGTCAAAGTATAATTTATATAAAAAAAGAAACGCTTTTGATAATCTGAACCAATAAAATTCTTCCACTTGGATTAACGGGTAATTCTTTCTCTCTCGCGCGCTTCAGAAAATGAAACTCAAACTCGAACCAAAATCTATGGTAAAAATCGTCAAACGACGACACGAAATTTGGCTGGACGAGACGTTCACCAATTTTCCCTCTCCCAATTCCCAATAATTCTTCTTCAACATTTCTTCCCCATTTCTTCCCCCTGTTTCGCAGTTTCTTTCAACCAACATTCACTCCATCGCCTCTTGCGTAATAAATCTCTTAATCAGGTATTTTTCTCACTTCTACGCGTTTTTCTTTGACGAACATTCTCTTTTCAGATTGTTTTTGTTTTCCCTTTTGGGTAATTTCATTGTTTTTTCAGGATTCAGTTTGTCGTGAACGTGATTTTCTACCTGCCCTTTTGCCCGTTTTTATTCCGCGGCTGAGATCATACCCCAATTCTCTAATTGTATCATTCATTAATTCATTTTCTTTTGATTTCTTCTACTGGGTTCAATTCAACTGGAAGCAAATTTTGTTGTTTGATTTGGATAGATACCGTCTGATCTTGTTAATTTAGATTGAGCTTCGCTGTATTGTTCTCGAATTTTAACATTCCGTGATGGATAACTATGGTTCTTCGCCTTCATACCCGTACCATATGCCATATGGATATCGTCATCCAGCTCCTCCTCCTCAATACCCACCTTCTCAATATCCTCCTTCTCAATATCCACCTCCTCATCAATATTCACATCCAAATTCAGATTCATATGCTCGTCCTCCTTACCCTTACCCGTATAATCCTTCACACTCCTCGCCATTTGCATACCCCCCGCCACCATCTCATTCTGCCCCATTAGAGTATCATCAACACCCATCTCCACATTCTGGCCCTGTACCTTACCCGTATCCATACCCTGATCCCTCAACTACGAACGCTGCTCCTCGGCCATCTATTCAATATCATAACAATTTCCAATCTGGTACATCCCCCTATCGGTATCAAGAACCTAATATATACCCTCCACCCGAAAGTCAATACCCACCGCCCCCTTTGCGAGTAAGTAGCTTCTCCAGCCACTGCCAGAATGATAGCACTGATTCTGCCTCTTCTGTCTCTTCCGTCTCTTCTCCATACCCGCCTCTGGATGACCTTTTGAGCAGTGTACATTTGTCTGATCATCAAACAACTGCTCCTGCATCACCTCCTGCACCTGCTGCACCTGTACCATCTTCAGTTTCATTATTGGCGAATGCACCTCAAAGTGCTAGATATGATCGGCGTGATCGATTCTATGGCTTTCCAAATTCATCTTTTTCGAATTTTGAGACGGGGCACTCAGATCAAATGACTTCATCAAAGCAACCTTCATTTTCCCATTCAAGCTCATTCAGTGTGTCTGAAATAGGTAAGGCCTTGCAGATTGTTCCATTGAATACTAAAGCATCATTGAGAGTTTTGCTTTTACATGGAAACTTAGAAATATGGGTTAATGAGGCAAAATGTCTTCCAAATATGGACATGTTTCACAAAACCTTGGGGGATATGTTCTTAAAGTTACCTGGGAACATGAGCAACAAAATTGAAGGACGCGTGAGTCATAAGATCACTAGTGATCCGTACGTGTCAATCTCTGTAGCGAATGCAGTAATTGGGAGGACTTTTGTAATAAGCAATAATGAAAATCCTGTTTGGAAGCAACATTTCTATGTTCCCGTGGCACATTCTGCTGCCGAAGTTGTTTTTGTCGTTAAGGACAGTGATGTTGTTGGTTCACAACTAATAGGAACTGTAGCAATTTCTGCAGAACAATTATATTCAGGGTCTTTAGTTGAGGGATCCTTCCCAATCCTGCTTGGTGGGAAGCCATGTAAGCCTGGAGCTGTTCTGAATATTTCTATTCAATATACCCCAATGGAGAGGCTTAGTACTTATCATCATGGAGTGGGCGCTGGTCCTGATTATCGTGGGGTTCCTGACACATATTTCCCCCTCAGAAAGGGCGGATCTGTCACTCTTTATCAAGATGCCCATGTTCCAGATGGACACCTTCCACATTTGATGCTTGATAATGGTATGTACTATGTACATGGACAGTGTTGGCACGACATCTTTGATGCCATACGTCAGGCTCGCAGGTTAATTTACATAACTGGGTGGTCAGTGTGGCACAAAGTGAAACTAGTCCGTGATACTGGCTATGGGACAGATTGTACCCTTGGAGATCTTCTGAGATCCAAGTCCCAGGAGGGAGTGAGAGTTTTGCTTCTTGTTTGGGACGATCCCACGTCTAGGAGCATTTTGGGTTATAAAACTGTAAGTCTATTTCCCTGTTCTATATTCCTTTCATGTTTCCTGCCTTTTCCAAAAATCCTTTAAATTAAATATATGACATGAGGGTGAGAATACTTTACGTAATTGAATGAAAAAAAAAACTTTCTTACTTTGTTCTTGAAATGTGGGAATCTTTATCCTTGTTCTTTTTCACCTCTTTGGAGATTAAACTTCTTTTTGTGGTAAAATAATTAAATAACTGAGAATATCAAAGAGATTGGGAAGATATAGAGGAAAGAAAAGGTCAACTGACTTATCCCTCATAGTAAAAACTGTCCTCTTGTGGTTAGAAGGATGCCTTTGAAAATTTTTCATTTTAAACTATAAATTTTTCCTGCCAAAATACCTTGTATCTAGAAGCCTATCTTCCAAAGAAAATATTGTTAATTGTTTTGTGCACCAATTCATGAGTTTATGGGCTTCAATATTAAAGAGTTGGATGCGCTGCAGATCTTTGATAACAATTAAGATAGATTTGCAGCATTTGCCTCAAATTCTCATTTACCAGCTGGACATATTCCACTATCGTTTCATCTCAATTGTTAGATTATGCATGTAATTACAAACTATCTTTGTTGGATAGCATAAGTATGGGAAAGTTTGCAATTTGTAATCACGGTCTTCCAGTTAACTTTATATTGGTTTTGAAGGATCTATTATCATACTCTACTGAGGCTTACGGATGTTAATTCTTGCAGGATGGTTTCATGCAAACCCATGATGAGGAAACTCGCCGTTTCTTCAAACACTCCTCTGTACAGGTGATACTTTGTCCCCGCATTGCAGGAAAACGACATAGCTGGGTTAAGCAAAAGGTTAGTCTTTTTTTCTTTCTACTTTTTTTCGTTTTTCATTTTTCCTTCCTTTTTATTTATTTTTGGGTTATTTTTTGGGTAAAAAAAGGGGGATACTTCAATGAACAATAGATGGCTAAAAGTTCAGTCGTTAATAATCACTTTTTTATGCTTTGAGACTTCTGTCGTTCTTAAACATGAATTAAGAAAATTGGCAATTTGAACCTGTACATCCTCAGTTCTCGGTTGTTTCTATTTTGATTAAATATGGTATGTACAAATAAGTGTTTATGATATAGATAGGTGTAGTATTTTTAGTATTTGGTGTAGAAATCTGAATGTGATACTAAACCATGCCATCTTGATGGCAGTAATGTCAATAACCTCTACTACAAAGTGAAGAAGTTTGACCAAGATCATGCCTAGATAGTTGAAGCGGTCAAATGATAAGTTTTTTTTCAAGACAATGAATGCCATCTGTAAAATTTCCTTGATTTAAGGTTAATTCCTTTTCAAATCCATCTTTTCCTTTGATGACCAAAATAGATAAAAAAATGCTAAAAGCAATGAAATTTGTCTTGTCCAATGAATTGTTGATAATTTTCTACTTCTAAAATTATTTCTACACTTGAACGTTTGGAGTTTTTTTTTCTTCAAAGTTGGGCATTAGAATCTTCACATCATTGTACTCTTGTACTCCCTTACTGGAATAGGTTTGTTTGAGCATTTTCAAGCGTTTCAGACTTTCAGTTGACCTTTGAGAACTCTGGTTTAAACTATCTTTTGACCATTGTTGTACTTGTACTCATACTTGATATCAAACTAATTCTTCAACTATTAGACTGCACGTGTTTTTTAATCTCCCATTTGTTAAGCTTGAAAATTAAGCTCTTTCTTTTTTAATAGCTCGTAAACCTATTTAATTTAAAAGGAAAAAAAAATGAAAAGCTAGAATTTATCCTTACAATCATTAACCTTCATTCCTTAGAAAAGGAGCATCTAGGTTAATTTATGTCTTCTTTATTTTTAATTGAGAACATTAATGTCTGGGGGATAAAAGAATGCCATTCTTGGGGTCAATTACAAAATTCCTCAACTTATTATCATATTTGGAATTTTTTATAATTGTTTAATTATATCTTTTCTATTTTTTTTTTGGAGTGGAAATATTGCCTTTAATAATTCTTGCTCTTCTTTCTGAATAATCAGGAAGTTGGAACTATTTATACACACCATCAGAAAACAGTTATCGTGGATGCTGATGCTGGAAATAATAGAAGAAAAATCATAGCTTTTGTTGGAGGGCTTGATTTATGTGACGGGCGGTATGATACTCCATCACATCCTATATTTAGGACACTTCAAACAGTACACAAGGATGATTACCACAATCCTACATACACGGTAATCTGTTAACTGTGCCCCACTTGTCTATTAATAGTTTTTTTTTTTTTTTTTTTCCATAAGAAACTTTGAATTAACAAAAGCATAGAAACATAAAAAACAGCCTAAGGGCAGGGTTAGAGGGATCCCCCTCCTAGGAACTAAAAAAGAAGAGCTCTCCAATCTTGCATAATCGAAGAGAGGCTATAATTACAAAAGAATTTTCTATGCCTATGACACCACCATGAAGTGTGTAAATGAACTGTATTACAAAAATTTTCTAAAGAAGAAATCTTATCTTCAAAGAATCTAGCGTTCCTTTCCAACCAAAGATTCTACAGAAGAGCTCTACTTGTCTATTAATAGTCAATATAGTTCTGTTCTATGTTAATATGATGCAGGAGAAAATGTTGATCTATGTCAAATATCTGAACTAACCCATGTATAGTCCAGATTCTTCTTCTTCTAGCTTGTTTTTCATTTTTGTTTTTTTTTTAACAAGATACTAACTTTTCATTGAATCAGTGAAAAGGAACAAAATTGTTCATAGATACAGACTCTTGAAAGAGTGAACGTAAAAATAAAATTGCAAATAAAGCTAAAGATTCAGGAAGATGTAATAAAAACACCCCAATTTAAATTTATCAAACTGGGGAGTAAGGTTTAAATAGAGAAGATAAAGAACTCCAAAGAGAGGCCTTGAATTTAACGAGATCGAAGCGTGCTGAAGGAGGCTGCTTCTTTTCATAAAAAATCCTCAAGTTTCTTTCGTACCACAACTCATACACCAATGCCTTAACACCATTCAGCCAAAGGAGAGAAGTTTTTTGGAAGCTGAATCAAATTATCTGTCGTTTGCTTGTCAAAAACCCAAGCCAGATTGAATTCTTCTAGCAAAAAACTCCAGCACTGTCTTGCATAAGGGCAAAAGTAAAGCAGATGTACCATACTTTCTTCATTGGACATACAAAATACACAAATCAAGGGGGAAAGACTGAAGTTTGGAAGCTTCTTTTGTAGAACATCAGATGTGTTGATCTTCCCATAAATAAGAATCCAAGAAAAGAAACATGCTTTCTTTGGACATTTAGTTTTCCAAAGAGCCTTAAATAAGACTTTTGGCATAGAGTTACCACAGGATTTTTTGCAGACTGATTCAACTGTGAAAAGACCGGAGCTGTCCAAAGACCAGTTCCTGCTATCAGAAGCACTGTTAGGAGAATAATGGTGCAACAATGACAGTAATGAAGAAAATTCCTCCACCCCATCATCTTTTAGTAGCCTTCTTGTGAGAATTTTCCATGACAAGGTGTAAGAATCCCAGAAATCTGCCACTGACCCTGAAGGAAGGAGTGAAAGCCTGAAGATCTTTGGGAATTTATCCGGGCTGATCCCCAGCCCATTTGTGTATCCAAAACAGAATAGACACACCAGAGCCAAGTTTAAAATTCGAAAATTGGTTCTATAGCAGCCATTGACGAGATATATTAATCCAAGGTCTTCTAAGACAACCATTCAGCATAATACCCAAAGACCAACCCAATTCAGACTATTGAAACAAGGCTTTCATTAGGAGAAACAAGACTTTCATTAGAAGAGATTGACGTACAAGAAACTATTGAAAGCACCAGAAGGGAATGGAGAAGACCTTTAAAAAATCAAAAGGTGACCATACAAACTGAAAGTGACCTGCCTTAACAAACTAAATTACAAAAACAAATAACTCCCTCTATTCAATCTCATTGTGGAGTAAAGAACGACAAAAAATCATTAAAAAAAGCTTTCGTTTTTTATCATTATTAACAATGAATAATTTTGTTACTATTCCCCATTTTGGTACTAAGAATAGTTTTTTTTGTATCCCTATGAATCAGATAATACTATGCTATTTCCTATGTTTGTGTTATCCCTATTTACTTGTTGGAGTTATAGGAATTCCGTTCACTCAATTCAATCAAGAAGCAATTGATTTGGATATGTTAGACAAATGGCTAACTCCGTCTATAAACTTTCATGAAAACCCTACAATCAAAAATAAAAGAATGTCTCTCAAAATAAAGAGAAGCATTAGACTGAGCTAACCTTACAGTTCCCAAACAAATAAAACCTATCATAAAATGTAATTCTGTTGTATTATAGTCATAAATCCATGGGCAAGGCCTCAATTTTATCTATAATTCTTTTGATGACGAAAGACAGAAATTTATCATTTCTTTTGGTAAAAGAGGCCCCGTTCAAATGGGCACAAAATGAAATTGGCAGAGATAATCGTAAGAATTTTGACTGTATGGTATAAGAGTATGTACCATTTTGGTTTACACATGCAAAAATGGTTCAACCAATAGTCATGGCTCTCCTTGGGAAAATTTTGTTGTACTATTCGTGTTGAAACTACTATAACTATATGGAATTGATTTTCAATAGTATAAGGATGAGAAAAATATCTTCCTTGAAATAGAAAAAAAGGCAAACTAGTTTGGTTAAGAGATCAGGACGAAATTTAGCCTTCTTTTTACAGGTTTCTTGCAGCCAGGAAACTTGGAGTATTCTGATGAAAATTGAGAGCTGGTATCGGATTAGGGGAAGAATATTGTGGAAGGCAAAAGCATTGAAGGGAAAATTTTGAATTTTTCGACAAGCTAATTCTGAAATCAATGAGGTAAGATTCATTCTGGGGGTTTAAGTTGGAAACTTATTTCATGTGAAGAAGTAGATGGCTTGAGAGACTTTTGGAAGAGAGAAACTTTGTTAGTCCTGAACTCTTCAGGGATGTTCAGGCTCCAAGGCTGGAGGGTTTTACTACAGAATTCCTTAACAAATTTTGGAGCATTTTTAAAAATTATCTTTCGGAAGTGTTCCAGGACTTTTATGGGGAAGGTCGCCTAAACTCTTGCAGAAACGTTATTTTTCCTATTTGGAAGAAAGAAAATGTGGAGAAGGAGATATAATTTAGACCTATTAGCTGGGTTACGCTCATCTATAAAATCATTGTTAAAGTCTTGGCTTAGTGATTGAAGGGAGTGTTAAATTTCAACAACTCAAAATGCTTTTATGAGGAGAAACAAGTCATGGATCCTAATCAAGTTGCAAATTAAGTGGTGGACTATAGAAAAGGGTAAAATGTGGATGACTGTTGAAATTTTGTCTTGAAAAAGCTTACAACATGGTTAATTGGGGTTAATTCTTGCTTACAATTTTGGAAAAGAAAGGCACTTTGGGAGAAGATGGATACTGTAGATAAAGGATGTACAGAACAAAGTTTTCTGTTTCTTTCCTTTTTCTTTCCAATAGAATGCCAAGGGCAAAAGAACCAAAGCTATTAGACGATCAAGGAGGGACATCCACTTTCTCTCTGTTTATCTTGGTTGGTGATGTGTTGAGTAGGTTGATCTAGAATGGAATTCATGGAGGTCTCCTTGAAGCCTTTTATTTTGGAAAGAACTAGGTAAATATTACATACATTCAATCTGCAGATGATAACTTGCTTGTGTAAAGATGATGTGGTAATGTCAGAGAATTATTTCAGGGCTCTCAAGATATTTGAAATATCTTCGGGCCTAAAGCTAAATTGTAGTGTGAATATTCCTCTTAGTGAAGTTAAGACTGCGGCTGATAGATTGAGATGAAAGCTTGTAAATTGCCAACCTTTGATTTCTTATTTGAGATGCCTTTAAGTGATGGTCCTAGAGAACTTTGTAATTATATTCCGTTTGTCATCATCAAAAATTGGATAGGGTTTCTGTAAGTTTTGATATAAGGTTCTTTGGACCTTATCCTTTACTTAATACTACTTTGTTTCTCATTTAAATAAAATAACTGATCTTTAATTCCCTCTTCTACGTATCAAATTATAAATAACAATCAGCTGAAAAATTAGTCATGAAATAGAAGCATTGAGAAGATAAAAATATAAATAAAGCTTGTAGATTAATAAAAAGGGCAGCCAACCAAAAAAGTTAATTAAGTTAAATTGTTCATCTAGAACTATAAAATCTGTCCATCATGTTATGAGTTAAAAGACAAACAAGTCTATTGATAAATGATATGCAGATGATATGATGTGCTGTCCATAACTAGAGATTGAACATATGGAATCGATAATCAGTTAGACAAAATAGCAGACTGGAAGCTGTATGATCTTTTTAAATAGAATTTGAGGAGCAAACAATTCACTATGTTATAGAATCTAGAGTTATCACAATTGGAATTGATTTTATGAAGTACCAAATCTTTCTGTCGAACAGGGTAGTGTTGTTGGTTGTCCAAGAGAACCATGGCATGATCTGCACAGCAAAATTGATGGTCCAGCAGCATATGATGTTTTGACTAACTTCGAGGAGCGGTGGAGGAGGGCTGCGAAACCTCACGGGATAAAGAAGCTGAAATCATATGATGATGCTTTGCTGAGCATTCAAAGAATTCACGACATAGTTGGAATTTCTGAAGCTCACTGCACTAATGAAAATGACCCTGAATCATGGCATGTGCAGGTAAGGTTTTATTCCCATTCTTAATACATATGTGGTAAGAGGTTCGGCAATTGAAACTGGTTGAGGTTCAGTTTTGTTTAATCATGTGATGGAGTATGGAACTCTTTCATGAATTCTACGTTCCTTATGGTGGCTTTTCTTGATTAATTCTCTAATACTGCAGATTTTCCGCTCAATTGATTCAAGTTCTGTTAAAGATTTCCCAAAGGATCCGAAAGATGCACCAAGCAAGGTGAAGGACATTTATGATTGCTATAGTTCAGTAAAATCTTATGATACTTTTATCATATATGCATGTATTTATTATGTATTTGTGTCTGTATAACATGCTTATTCCCAAATATTCTACCTTGCAGAATCTTGTATGTGGAAAGAATGTGCTGATTGACATGAGTATACACACAGCATATGTGAAAGCCATTCGAGCTGCCCAACATTACATTTATATAGAGAACCAATATTTCATTGGATCATCCTTCAATTGGAATTCAAACAAAGATATAGGTAAAGGACATCAAAAGAAAATCTCACATGAAACACAATGTAATAGTCACAGTACTGTTCTGTGAGTTAATAACATTTAGCCTCTTTCTGTACATGGATTGCTGAATGAGAAATTATTTAAGGAGGCCCGTACAATCTGGTGGACGGTTTAATACCGTTGGATGTAGGAGAGAGAAACTAAAATTATGGTCTTACCATCCATCCAAGGGTTTAGAGGGGCAACCACAATGTGGCGGGTACATTGGATAATTTCCTTGCTGAAAAAGTCGGGTATACGCGATTATACACCTTTTAAAAAAGTACTCTGAAACATCACCACCTATAATCTAATATTTTCTTTTTAAAGTTGATTAAGGGATCAATTTTTGTGCCTAAAAAGGAAAATAAAAGGAAAACCAATGCGGTTCCAGCATGACAAATTAAGTCGCATCCAATAATATATGAGAATAACGTCATTTAGAAAGGAATGATAAGACTAAGTCCTATCCTTTTTGCTTTGCCTAAAAGAATGAACTGTCATGCAGTACGACAGACATTACAACATTGCAGTCTGCTAATTTTGCATATTTCTGATTTTTATAGGTGCCAACAATTTGATTCCGATGGAAATTGCACTGAAGATTGCTGATAAAATTAGAGCAAATGAGAGGTTTGCTGCATATATTGTCATCCCCATGTGGCCTGAGGGCGTTCCAACTGCTGCTGCTACTCAGAGGATACTATTTTGGCAGGTAGACTCACTAGTATCTTAGGTTTCATTCCATCATATATTTAACTAAATTTAATTGTATGATGCTATATAAATTATTGTGTTTGCATATATTGGCTCTCAGTAAATCTTGTATGCCATGATGATCTCAAGAGGCTTCTGAACTTGAGTCATCTTGTAAATCTTGTCATTGTAAAATTGGTGATTTATTGGAAAACTCATAATAGGAAGTACAGTTTCCTTCCTTCAACAAAAAAGGAACTGCATTTCTAAAGTGGTTGTAGTTGCAGAATATGCCAAAAGTTCTGAATTAGAATGTTGCTCAAATCAACCCACTTAATTCACCTAAAATCCCTACTTCTTTAAATTTCATGTTAAACATAACTAACCATTTGATTTTCATAGCATTTTAAGGATTCATGCTTTAATGAGATTTTCTACAAGCTGAAGATGCAACTTTGTAGTTATTCTTTCCGTTTAGCCCATAATCATTCATGGTAATTAAAAATTAGAATTGTCCCATATGATAATCTATGATTTAGAACTTTGCAGTTCTTAACTTCTTTGGTGGTGGGAATTGGAGAAATTATTGTGTTAAACAAATGATAAAGGAAAGCGCGAACGTAGGGGAAAATACTAAGATGCACATTGAAATACCAACAGATATTCTGATCAATGACAAGTTTACTTATGATTTATTTGATCTTTTCGTGCATTGCTCAGCAAAAAACCATGCAAATGATGTATGAGGTAATTTACAAGGCTTTGATGGAGGTTGGTCTTGAGGAAGCATTCTCTCCTCAAGACTATTTAAACTTCTACTGTCTTGGAAATCGTGAGGCTATCGATGGAAATGATCCCTCATGTGCTGGAAGTCCTCATGCAGAAAACACCCCTCAGGTACCCTGCAAACTTAAATCAATTATTGATTTCAGTTATTATATTTTTACTTTGGTTTGGGTTTTGAGTTGTTTTACTCTTTGGTTTTTGTTAGGCTTTTCTGCTCTGCTAAAGGAATGTAACTTTTGCTGTCATTTTTCATTTATGAATGAAAATTTTATGTTTCCTTTGTAAAAAAATTATATGTATTTTACAGCACTGCAGAAGAATCGTCTTATGTTAAGTTCCTGATCAATAGCTGTATATTGATGTGCATTAATGAAGGTTCTTTCACAAACAATAGTAATAACAAACGAAGGAGAGATATGGTGGAAACAACCTTGCATACCTGTCATAAATTTTATATCAAAGGAAAGGAAGATATTTTAAGAGTTTCCATAAGAAGAACAAGTAATAAAAGAAAAAGTAGAAGTAACTTCCTACACGTTTAAAGATGTTCACAATATGTTCTTAGTTATTGCTAGTCCCTGGTTTTCTTGCTCACAAATGATTGAATGAACTGACTGCAGGCACTTAGTCGGAAAGGCAGAAGGTTTATGATATATGTTCACTCTAAAGGCATGATAGTTGATGACGAATATGTGATTGTGGGTTCTGCTAACATCAACCAGAGATCCATGGAAGGAACTAGAGACACTGAGATTGCTATGGGAGCCTATCAGCCTCATTATACGTGGGCAAGGAAATTTTCGCATCCTCGTGGACAGGTGAGTTTTAACTAGAAAATTTCCTAATGTGGAATTTCTTAAATCGATGCTAGTAATTGTAAGCTTTTGGACTAAAAGAATAGAATCATGATAGAACCCAAAAAGTTTAAATGATATTAAAAGATAGCCGAGCAAATCCCACTAAACTATTAAGTATTCTCACTCAAGCCTAAACCCACTAAACCATTTCATCTCATACGACTCCTATTTGTAACCAACTCATTGGTTAATTACTCATACGCCCTTACTATCCTAATTTCCTAAAAGTTACTTATACTGGCATTCCTATCAAGTCTGTTCATAAGATTCCATAAAAAGTTATCAAATAGCCCGAGGAAAACAAACTTTTCATGAATTCACAAAACATGTGCTAGAAAGAGGAGAGACCCACATCTTGGTTTGCTATCATGTTCAGATATATCAGCTGAAGTGAAATCTTTGTTTTATGGTGTGGTTTAGAGCTCTTCATCTATTTTTACCATTGTAATTGCTATTTCGAATAAGCTTATCGGGTAGCTAAAGGGGTCAGTTGCTATGTGGTCTTGTTGTAAGGGTGATGAATAGATCTTGAATCTTGCACTTGGGAACTTGCTAATAAGTTGGGCCACTGGCAGGAGGATGCTACGAACACTTTGAATCGTCAAAAGAAATGGACCATAAATAAGATTTCAACCAGAAATGATTGAATTCCCAAAATATTACATAATTACTTCAAACTGATATGTTGCCAACCTCTTCCCGTTTTGTTTGTTCTGTGATGTTAAATTATAAGTTTGGTCTTTGAATTTTTAAAGTTATGTTAATTTAATCAATTTACTATAAAAAGTTCTAATTGATCTTTGAACTCACAAAGTAGTGTATATTTAGTCTGCGAAACTTAAAAATTTTCTAATCGGCCAATGAACTTTCAATTTTGTCTCTAATATTTATTTATTTTTAAGTGTGTCAGTTTAATGCTTACGTTGACCACATTGATTGTATTATTTACAGTTTAGGTGGTGGTTGATTTCCGAGACGAAATCTATTAGACATAGAATTGAAAGTTCACTGGGCTATTAGAATCCCTTTAAAGTATAAGAATTAAAGAGATATTAACCCTTAAAATTTAAAAACCTATTAGCACCTTTTCAAAGTACAAGAATTGATAGATACAATCTTGAACGTTCAAATGTTGAACTTATAATTTAAACTTTTTTTCTTGGTAAGGGATTAGGGTCTCTTGGTCATGCTGGTTTAGAAGTCTCAAGTTTGAAACTTTGGGTGAGCTTAATACCAAAAAACCATTGATGACTTCTAGGTCCGGGCCTTGGAGTGGGTGTGAGTGCCCCTAGATTATGGGGAGCAAAGCTCCGACTCTCGTTTATAAAAAAAATGATCTCTTTTTCCGTTTTCTTTTCCTTCCCCCTATTATCTGTATGGATACTCAATAAACTAAATAAGTTGGAAAATCTGCAGCTCATTTTGTGCTATTCATTTTCTAAGAGCACCAACTCAATATATAGAAATGCATTTCTGAATTCTTCTGAGAACTGAATGTCCTGTCCTGTAGATCTATGGATATAGGATGTCGTTGTGGGCGGAGCATACAGGAACCGTCGAAGACTGTTTCAACCAACCCGAGAGCCTCGAATGTGTCAAAAGAGTTAGAACAATGGGAGAATTAAACTGGAAACAGTTTGCCGCCGACGAGGTAACAGAGATGAGGGGACACCTTCTGAAGTACCCTGTTGAAGTTGATAGAAGAGGGAGGGTTAGGTCTCTTCCTGGACATGAAAATTTCCCAGATGTAGGTGGAAAAATAGTTGGGTCATTTCTTGGTATTCAAGAGAACCTCACCATCTAAAAACAAGCTCACTGATTGTATACAAGGAGGGATCCTACAGTAATTTGATCAAATGAAGTTGCTTGGTAGGGATAAAGCTGTCTGTACAGTTGTGGAAATTTTTGTTAGCTACTAAAAGGAAAAAAGAAAGAAGAATTTAAAAACAGAATGGCCATCATTTCCTCCCTTTCCTGGGAATGGCGTTTGTAAATGCCAATACATGAGGTTTCTTTTCTTTTCTGTTTAATGTTAATAATATCTATGTATTTGGAAGTCGGTTTCCTCTCTTGCTTTCTCGTGTTTATTACGAGCCGAGGCTACATTTGCATTCACGAACTTTTAATTGCAAAAATCGAACTCTCAAACTTACATCATTGTAAAGATTGAATCATGTTATTAGAGACGATGTGAAGGGGTTCTCCAGGTTAGAAGAGCTTTTCTTTTAAGACTTGGCAGGAAAAAATTTAAATTTTTATTAGACTGAAAAAAGAGTAATCAACAAAGTTGGTGGGTTGAGAATCATTGAGACAAGAGAATGAGAATAATACTTTATACCCTAAAATGAACTAATCAATAAGAATGATTCTCAATTCTGTGTAACACCGATGATTCTTGATTCTCTTTTAGATGAATAAAAACAATTTTTTTATGAATAATTCTCATTTATTTGTTCTTCTTGTGAAGTAACAAGATCTAAAAGAATTTAAATAAATCGAAGTTAATTATTGTGATCCATATATAGACGTAGGTTTTATTAGGTTAAATTTCAAATGCAATTTTTGAACCAACAGACGAAGAAAAATGATATGATAAGTCAACTTAGTGGTCTATCAAGAGCCAATTTTTAATTTAGAAATAACCTAAGAGAATGAGTTACTCGTTCTATATAGGAATATTTATAGGTTATTAGACACATGACCACCCGCTTCTACTTGATTCGTTCCTAATTGTCCCATCATTCCCTGCGATTTGGTTGCGCCACCGTCTTTTATCTAAGCTACTTATAAGAGTGAAGACCATCCATATAGACCAACACAAGTCTTTTTAGCATGACCGAAGATTGCTTTAAGCCAAACATGCTTATCTTTGTAGTTCTTATGATTGAGCCACGAAAAGGAAGATACACATTGTTAGTATAGATAGTAACTATCAATTCTTTTAAACCTTTCTTAGCCATGCTTTCAGGATCTTAGGATCTCTCTCATTCAGATGTGGTACCGATTCATCCATATATCTTTTCTTCCTACTCGGGCATCACAAGATAACTTCTGAAGAAGAAAACTTACAATAGTATATAAGAATTTGCTCAAGTGAAAAGGCATCACAATCTCGCAAAGAAAGCAAGAAAGATAAGATGAAAAATAGTTAGTGCCTTCATTTTGAAGTAACATTCTATTTCTCGCATCAGGTGGGTTAAGAAATGTTCTTAGAAGGAAAGAGCCAAGGAAAATATGCTTTTTAAATTAGCATGATTGACTATGAGAATGATACCATTAGAAGAGAGTTTAGTAAAGAGTTAGTAATGAGGTTTAAGCCTAGGATTCACTGCATTAAAGTGGCTCAAACAATATGTTAAATGTTTCTTAGAATCAAGATTACACCCAAAATAAATCAAATCATGTGTCATATTCTATGAAAAGTAGATCCTCAAGCCAAGTTCAAGAGTGAGATGCATAGCTTCAAGTCATGGTGAAAGTTTTAAGCTCAATTTGCAACAAAGATAATATTGGGTCAAATAAGATATCATTAAGGAATATTAAGGTCAATGATGAGGTTAACAGGTGGAATAGTGTTAAAATAAGTGAATGTGAGCATGAGATATATAATATTATGTTATTATTAATTAGTGCACACACCATCATTATGGAAACGTATACGCAGTAGAAAAATTACGCCAGTCCATTGAGATATGGTATGCTACAAGTGAATATTTGCGACAAGAAATGAATCCTAATTTTAGGATGACTGACCCTTTTAATCCAGTCCATATAATGTCTTTTTCGGGAGCTCGAGGAAATGCATCTCAAGTACACCAATTAGTAGGTATGAGAGGATTAATGTCAGATCCACAAGGACAAATGATTGATTTACCCATTCAAAGCAATTTACGTGAGGGGCTGTCCTTAACGGAATATATCATTTCTTGCTACGGAGCTCGTAAAGGAGTTGTGGATACGTTGAGAATCTAAGTTCATGTGACTACCTCCACGAGTATTTTAAAGGGAAGTGACTCCTGATATCACTTTGCACGTCTATATATTCTACAATCATTTGCCTTAAAATGTACTATATGAGAGGGGCACAGTATTTACTTTGAACTTTTCTTAAGCTATTTGGCCTTAAATGAGCTACCTTAGAACACATGTGTTATATGTTATATATAAGCGAGCATCGAAGAATGAACGAGTCTCAAGTAGCTTCTAGTGAAAATGAAAATTTCAATATAATGACAATGTTGGATGGCACGACTCACGAGGATATCAAAATTGTGCTCCTCCCACGAGTTGAAGGTTATAAAATAGGACATATATAGCTCAAATAACGTATTTCGAAGTAGATTACCCCAAGTATATGGACATCAACATATTGGGATAGAAACATCCTTTCAAATAATTAAGGTGACGTAAAAAAAAAATGGACATAATAATCTTGTCAAGTTTAGAATGGAAATAATACAAAAGAGACAAATTGAATTACGTCAATGAACTCTATTTTGATTATGATAATTCTAATCATGAAAATTGTTAATTAAATATTGATGCGGCACATTTGTGAGGTTAATAAGTGACTTAAAATGTAGCCTACACTAAAATAAAAGTAAATGTACTATTGTTCATTAGAACATATATGGATCATTTTTGTTCGCTCATCGTTCTATTATCCACGTGGCCAATTTCTTCATATCACGATACATTAAACCATCATTTATTAGTCCCATCAACCAGGTTAGGTTCTACGACAATGAATCAAAATTTTATGCGTATTTTCATTGTTGGGACTAAAATATAGAAACTAGGAACCATGCAGAAAATAAAATATATACATATTTATATATATATATATATCCTAAAACGACGCCGTAACTAATGATTAATGATTATCAAGAATTCAGCTAAAGAATGAATTTACAAATCTCTCCCCCTCTTTCTCTGTCTGACCAAAATAACCAGCTAAGCTTTCCAGAGAAGCATTGATGCCAAACGAATCTGATGGCTCCACGTGTCAACGATTAGGCCCGCCGACCCCACCAGCTCA